AGTGTGCGCGCATAGCCGCATAGCTTAGGGTTCATACGTAGTGACAGCGAAACGGGCGCTGTGCATTACACCCAGCCCCCAAGCCGGTGCCTGCTGCTGAGCACTCCGATCCTCTTATGCTTCTTCTCTGTGTAAAATATACTAACTCCTGAGATATTCTATAGTATGTAATCCTTTTCATAATACTAGGCCTCTAGAGGCCACACAGAGGAGCTATTGTAGTGCCTGGGCACTACACCGTAAAAGCAGCAGCAGCAACAGCAGCAGCAGCAGCAGCAGCGGCAGCAGCCGCTGCAGCAAACCATTATTACTTTAGAGCAGTTCTTCTTCTTTTTTTTTGTTTTTAATTAATACAAATCCTCATATCTACCCCGGGGCCCCAAAATGTCTTCAGATGCCCAAATCGCCCCGAGTCGCATGTAAGCCATCTCCGCTGCAGCAGCAGCAGCAGCAGCAGCAGCTGCTGCTGCTGCTGGATGTGTAGCTGTAGTTACTGCTGCAGCTGCTGCTCCTCGAGATGCTACTGGAGCTGCTGCAGCTGCGGATGCTGCTGTTGGTGCTGAAACTGTCGGAGCCGCTGCTGGCGGAGCTGCTCCGGGCGCTGCTGCAGCTGCTGCAGCTGCAGCAGCTGCTACTGCTGGTGATGCTGCTGCTGTTGCATCTGCTGCAGCAGCAGCAGGTGTTGCTGCAGCAGCGGCTGCGTGAGAGTGCTGCTGCTGCTGTGATCGCAGCTGGCGCTGCTGCGGCTGATGCTTATGGGCTTGGAGCTGCTCCCCTATTTGCTGCTGCAGCAGCTGCTGCTGGAGCTGCTGCTGCTGCTGCTGCTGCTGCTGCAGGGAGATATATTTGCTGCGGCTCGTGCAGGAGTTACTATTGCTGCTGCTTGCTGCTGCTGCTGCTGCTGCTGCTGCAGGACTCTTCAGATAACGAAGCAAAAGAAAAAGGGAGCTGCACAGGGCTATCAACTCCTTAAAAAGAAGAGTGATGCTCTCTCCGCTCGCTTCCGTGGCATGCTGAAAGAGATCGTCAAGGCAAGGGTTTAGGGTTTAGGGTTTAGGGTTTAGGGTTGATTGTCTAGGGTTTAGGGTTTGGGGTGTATTCGTTCTTGTTGAGGTCATATATATATATATTTATATATATATATATATATATATATATATATATATATATATATATATATATATACATATATATATATATATACATATAATTAGTAATTATTAATTACTTTTATTTATAATATATTATAATTTACTTGTGTGTGTATACAGACGAAGCTGTCTATATACATTATATATACTGTTATACATATAACTATAATTAATAAAATATATAATAAAATATATATAATTTATAATTTATAATTTATTCGTGTGTGTATACAGACAAAGTTGTCTATATACATTATATATACTGTTATACATATAACTATAATTGATAAAAAAAATATATATATAATAAAATATATATAATTTATAATTTATAATTTATTTGTGTGTGTATACAGACAAAGTTATCTATAGGAGACACCATCAACGAGGCCCACTTCTCTCTCGCTAAGGCCTCCTGGGCGGGGGGCAGCGACCTGAGGGGACAGCTGCTTCAGGTGTATATCTTTGTCTTCATTTGTTTTTTTTTTTAGTTTTGTTGTTTTTTTATTTGTTTTATTGTTTTTATTAAGTATATCTTTGTTGTCTTCATTTGTTTTTTTATTAGTTTTGTTGTTTCTTTATTTGTTTTGTTGTTTTTATTAAGTATATCTTTCTTCATTTGTTTGGTGGTAATATATATATATATATATATATATATATATATATATATATATATATATATATATATNTAGGGTTTAGGGTTTAGGGTTTAGGGTTTAGGGTTTAGGGTTTGGGGTGTATGTACAGCGCATCAAGAGGCCCGCGGTGTTTGTCACTGCTGCCTACGACAACGTGGCGGGGGTGCGGCTGCCAGTCTTTCAGATAACCACAGACCCCACCGTCGACAGTGCGTCTCCTTTTGTCTCTTTTTGTCTCCTTTTGTCTCTTTTTTGTCTCCTTTTGTGTCTCCTTTTGTCTCTTTTTCTCTTCTTTTGTCTCCTTTTGTCTCCTTTTGTCTCCTTTTGTGTCTCCTTTTGTGTCTCCTTTTGTCTCCGTTTCTCTTCTTTTGTCTCCGTTTTCGCCGCCCTTTGTATTCGTTTTTGTTTTTTTTGTCTCTCATTGTCTCCTTTTGTCTCCTTTTGTCTCACTTTATCTCGTTTGTGTCTCCTTTGTGGTTTTTTTATGCTTTTTTGTCTCTCTTTTGCTTCTTTTCTCTCAACTCTTCTCTCCTTTTGTTTACTTTGTCTCTTTACATTCTTTTGTATGTTCCCGTCCTAATCTTGCCATTCTCTTCAGGGGGTTACAGCCGGCTCTAGGGTTTAGGGTTTAGGGTTTAGGGTTTAGGATATAATGAATCGACGCTTCTCAGATTGATAGAAAGGGAAATAAGTGCTTGGAGGATGCAGCGTGGTTTAGGGTTTAGGGTTTGTGTGTGAGGGTATTTCTAGGGTTTAGAGTTGAGGGTTTAGGGTTTAGGGTTTGTGTTTTGTACAGTACTCAAGAACATAACCCTCTCCGCTGGAGGCCACGTTATCCTCACAGCCCGAGACAAGTACCAAGAGGCCCTCTCAGAGCTGGTGAAGCTGGCTTCGCTTCAGGTGTGTATACACCAGAAACCCTAAACCCTAAACCCTAAACCCTAAACCCTCATGGATATATGCAGTACGCGGGGAGGAGCTCAGCGGCGGATGCTGGCACAGAGGGAACGAATTCTTCCTGCCTAGGGTTTAGGGTTTAAGGTTTAGGGTTTAGGGTTTAGGGTTTAGGGTTTCTGTCGAGGCTTAGTGTAATTCTCCACTGTGCAGACGGCTTTCTTTACGCTGGACTCTGAAATTAAAATGACAAACCGACGCGTCAATGCACTCAACAACGTAAGCCAGAAGCTTCAGGGTTTAGGGTTTAGGGTTTAGGGTTTAGGGTTTAGGGTTTAGGTTTTCCCCGCGATGGTCTCGGGTGACCTGCGGAGTCATTTGAGAAGTGGACAGCCGCTAAGTGGTTTGGCTTCGGGGGATTGGTATTAGGGTTTAGGGTTTTAGGGTTTAGGGTCTAGGGTTTAGGGTTTAGGGTTTAGGGTTTGGGCTGCAGGTGGTGCTCCCCAAGCTGGATAAGAGCATAACATACATAACGAAAGAGTTGGATGAGATGGAGCGCGAGGAGTTCTTCAGGTGTGTGTTGCCTAGGGTTTAGGGTTTAGGGTTTAGGGTTTAGGGTTTACAAGCGTATACTTTAATACTGTTAGTATATTAAAGAACCCTAAACCCTAGGCTCTAAACCCTAAAAACCCACGTAGCAAGGTTTATTCGTGGAGATAGTAATTAGGGTTTAGGGTTTACACTCTGTTCCCTCGCCCCTTCACATCGACCCCTTCGGGTTCCTTGCCTTTCGTGAGGGTTTAGGGTTTAGGGTTTAGGGTTTGTGTGTTGCAGACTAAAGAAGATTCAGGAGAAGAAGAAGCAAGCCAAGGAGGCTGAGCAGAAGGCTCTTGAAGAGGCACTGAAGGTCATAGGTAAGTGCCTTACTAGGGTTTAGGGTTTAGGGTTTAGGGTTTAGGGTTTAGGGTTTAGGGTTTGTGTAATCGAATGACGGCGGCAGCTGTCTCCTTTTGTTTGTAGGAGCACCTGGGTCTCTCTGTCCCTCTTTCTCTTTTTCTCTGTCTCCCCCTATCTCTTTCTCTCTATACTACTCTTCTATCTGTCTCCATTTCTTTCTCCGCGTTGTCTTTGTCTCTGTCTGCCTGTGCTGGCTTGCTTCTCTTCTGTCTGTCTCTTTTTTTTTATTATTCGCTTCCTTTTTTCTCTGTCTCCTTTGTTTTATTATTTGTCTCCTTTTCTCTCTGTCTCCTTTGTTTAATTATTTGTCTCCTTTTTTCTCTGTCTCCTTTGTTTACTTATTTGTCTCCTTTTTTCTCTGTCTCCTCCTTAATTCCCTCTGCATTTCATTTTCTTTATTCTATCATCCATCCTCTGCTTGGGCCTTCAGTAGTCCTGCTGGTGCTGCCGTCTTTGCTGCTGCTGCAGCAGCAGCAGCAGCAGGAGCTTTTGCATACAAGGATGAGAAGAATAAAAAGGTCATATGC